AAAAAAAAAAAAAAAAAGAAATACCGGGTTTAACATGCACAACATTAAGAAAACCAACAATTCTAGGTAGTGAATTTCTGTGGCACTGACCTTTGAACACCCCAGCAGGAATAAACTGCTGGGTCCAGATACTATGTTGTATAGTTCCCACTCCTCATTATAAAGTAAGCTCAGGGGGGAAGGACCAAGAAACTATGCTTAATAGGAAATTATAATCATTCATTTAACAAGTATATTGAGCATTTTCTTTGTGATTGTTTTGAGAAACAGTGAGGACGAGAGAAGACCTGTCCTAGAATTTACAGTTCATACAGTAGAATATTAAGTGAACAAAAAGGAATGAACTTGATATAGCAACATGGATAAATACCAAAATAATTATGTTGGCTTGGTGCCTGTTGCTCAGTGGTTAGGGTTCTGGCCACATACACCGGGGCTGGTGAGTTTGAACCCAGCCCAGGCCTGCTAAACAACAATGACAACTACAACAAAAAAATAGCCAGGCATTGTGGTGGGTGCCTATAGTCCAAGCTACTTGGGAGGCTGAGGCAAGACAGTCACTTAAACCCAAGAGTTTGAGGTTGCTGTGAGCTTTAATGCCATAGCGCTCTACTGAGGGTGACATAGTGAGACTCTGTCTCCCAAAAAAAAAAAAAAAAAAAGTTAAAAAAATTATGCTGAGTGAAATAAAACATGAAAAAAGCGTTTATGATTCCATATATATACAAAAAACTAAAATGACAGAAAACAAATCACTGGTCGGTTGAGGACAAGGTTAAGGGAGAAAGAATTGGTTATTTATATCATTTATACACTAATGCTCTTTTTTAAAAGCTGCATTAAGGCATAATAAGCATGTAGTTCTGTGAGATAAGTTGGTAGAAGTATAATTACTGGGTCAAAGTGGTTATATGTTTAAAGTTTATGTAGAGGGTCAGGCGTGGTGGCTCAGGCCTATAATCCTAGCACTCTGAACGGCTGAGGTGGATTGCTTGAGCTCATGAGTTCAAGACCAGCCTGAGGAAGAGCAAGGTTGTCTCTAAAAAAAATAGCAGGGCATTGTGGCAGGTACCAGTAATCCCAGCTACTTGGGAGGCTGAGGCAAAAGAATTGTTTGAGTCCAGGAGGATGAGGTTGCTGTGAGCTATGATGCTTCCGTACTCTACTGAGGATGACAAAGTGAGACTGTTTCCAAAAAGAAAAAAAATTAAAAAGTAAACAGCTGGGCATTGTGGTAGGTACCTGGAGTCCTAGCTACCAGAGAGGCTGAGGCAAGGGAATGGCTTTGAGTGTAAGAGTTGTGTAAGAGGTTGCTGTGAGCTGTGATGACATGGCATTCTACTGAGGGCAACAAAGTGAGATCCTGCCTCAGCCTCCTGAGTAGCTGGGACTACTACAATGCCTGGCTAGTTTTTCTACTTTTAGTAGAGACAGGGTTTTATTCTTGCTCAGGCTGGTCTTGAACTCCTGAGCTCCATTTCAGCCTATCAGAGTGCTAGGACTAAAGGTGTGAGCCCTTGTGCTTGGCCTGTTCATTATTTTTACTTCTTCTATGAATTTTCTTTGTCCTGTGTGAAATGCCTTTGGTCATTTTCCTATTGGATTGAACTATTATATAATATTTGGTATATGGGGCCGGCGCCCTACCTACTGAGCCATAGGCGCTAATGCCCAAGGTCAGGTTATTTCTTAAGCAAATTTACTTTTGGTTCAAAACAGAAATCTAAATATATACATTTACTTTTTGTTCTCCTTTCTTCCCCTAAAAGCACATTGATTTGCCTGTAGTTTTTCAAGGATGCTCAAAAATACTGGTTTAACGGATATATGAATTAACGTTTTTCCTGTTAGACTTTTAACTTTATTGATGGTGATTCTGAGTGTCTAGTGAAACCTGTAGATGAATGCGTCAGTTAACACTTTTCTGAAGGAGGCTGTAATGGCTGCAGGGAAGCCTTTTTTTTATATACTTCCTATTCTTTTCTTCCTGGCCTGTCTGTTCACTCTTTTAACCTTAGAGTTGCCTTTCTGGCCAGAGCTGTAAATTGCAGGTGAAGAGTATAAAAAGAGTAATAAAAGAGTAAAAAGGAGTAGGTAACATGGAATTTTTATGTCTGTTTTGAATCATCCCCCCCCTCCTTTGTTTTTAGGTGGGATGCAGCCCCATTTCCATTTGTGGTCCACATTAGGTGCTCCCCCTCTTCACAAATCCTCCAGTGGAGTGAGTTGCAAATATGGAATTCTCCTCTAATTTTAACTTTACAAGTGCATCCTTGGCCAACAGCTGTGACCACAGATCACAGCTCCTACTATCCTTTAATTGTTCTTCTGTTAACTCTCAACCTACCTTTTAACCTTTAGCCCTTCACGTCTCTGGCATGTGATTTTGTAAGAGCTTTCAGAAAATTGCCTTGTTTACTTTTTAGGAGAATTCTCCCTTGCCTGTGATGTATTGTGGATGCTCCATTCTGAGCATTTTTCCAATTCTACCTTGGTTTATATTGATAGTTTACTCCAAAGTTTCTATTTTCATAATGTCATTTCTGATTTTAGGTATGAAAATCAGTTTGCTTTTAGGGGAAGAAAGGAGAACAAAAAGTAAATGTATATATTTAGATTCCTATTTTTGAACCAAAAGTAAATTTGATTAAGAAATAACCTGACCTTGGGCAGCGCCTATGATTCAGTGGGTAGGGCACTGGCCCCATATATTGAGGGTGGCAGGTTCAAACCCAGCCCCAGCCAAACTGCAATAAAAAATAGCTGGGCGTTGTGGTGGGCACCTATAGTCCCAGCTACTCAGGAGGCTGAGGCAAGAGAATCACCTATGCCCAGGAGTTGGAGGTAGCTGTGAGCTATGATGCCACGGTACTCTACCAATATCGATAGAGTGAGACTCTGTCTCTACAAAAAAGAAAGAATCTGATATTTATTGACTAGATGTAGGTATAATTAGAAAACAAGAAGATTAACAAGTAACAATAATTTGATCATTTCTTAAATGAAGTAGTATAAAATTTGATTTAAGGTAATTTTAATACTTAAATAGTATTAAAATTTTAATACTTAAAGAAGAGTAATACTTTACTCTTTCTTACATAAATATTTTCTTTTTCTTTTTGGTGAGACAGAGTCTCACTGTGTTGCCCTCAGTAGAGTGCTATGGCGTCACAGCTCACAGCAACCTCAGACTCTTGGGCTTAAGCGACTCTTCTGCCCCAGTCTCTCAAGTAGCTGGGACTGTAGGTGCTCACCACAACGCGCCTCTATTTTTCTGTTGCAGTTGTCATTGTTGCCTAGCTGGCCTGGGCTGTGTTCAGAGTCACCAGCCTCGGTGTATGTGGCCAGTGCTGTAACCACTGTGCTATAGGTGCTGAGCCCATTCCCAAAGCATCATTGTAGTGCTTTGAGAAAATTTCACCTAAATGTGCAGTTTAGGTGGCACATTTTAAAGATAAGAAAGTGATGTTTAAATTGGAAATCATCCCTAAATCACAGTGCTGGGTCCTCTGGCTTTATCCTGTTTCCTGTAAGTACAAAAAGGACTCAGATCTCCTGTTGACTGTTCCTTTTGTGTTGTATGCAGTAAGAGGCCTTCCTGTTTCTGGAGAAGGGCTTTCTACAGGCTTTTCAGAGCTTTAAGTTGGGTACTGATGTGATTACACTTCTGGGTAGGTGGATGAGTGTGGCGGGACTGTAGACATTGAAAAGGGGGAGGATTAGGCTAAGGAGAAGAATAATGATACTCAGGGCCCTGTGTCAATTTTAAGAGAAGGTAACAATGTCAGGTATTTTCATAGTAGAACATACAGGATTTAATAGATCATTAGGTTTTACCCTGAACATCTGGTTATTTGTTGAATAATATGGTTTTATTCATGTAAATTTTATATGGTATGGGTTCTCAGGGGAACTGAAAGAAGCAATAGTTCAGCTGAGTTTGATTTTGGATGATCTGTTAGTTTAACTGCGTATAAGTGGTTGCACTAATGAAATTAGTACGTTTTCTACTTTAATCATTGCAAATGTATCTTTTTTCTTCTTTTCAGTTGGAAGATGCTGGCTCAAGTAGTTTAGATAATCTACTAAGTAGATACATCTCAGGCAGTCACTTACCCCCACAGCCTACAAGCACCATGAATCCTTCCCCAGGACCCTCTGCCCTATCTCCAGGATCATCAGGTAAGGCAAACAGATATTCCCTTACTTCTCTAATACTTAAAAAAAAAAGTCTCTTTCAGTTCTCTATTAGTGTTCTATAGAAAAAATAGAATCAACAATAGGTATGGAGCAGGAGATAGAGAGAAAGGTTTATGTTAAGGAATTGGCTTGTGGCTCGGCGCCTGTGGCTCAAG